CATCCATCCATCCATCCATCCATCCATCCATCCATCCATCCATCCATCCATCCATCCATCCATCCATCCATCCATCCATTTTCCATCACACTTTATCACAGCTGGGGTCTCGTGGGGTACTGGTGCCTATCTCCAGCTGTCTACGGGCGAGAAGCAGGGTCCACCCTGGACAGGTCGCCAGTCCATTGCAGGGTAACACAGAGACAAGCAGCTCAACCAACCATTCACACTCACACCTAAGGAGAATTTAGAGAAGCCAATTAACCTTACAGTCATGTTTTTGGACTGTGGGAGGAAGCCGGAGTACCCGGACTCTTCAAAACAAGTGTTTATAAAACCGTTTTCTCCTTTTCTGAATGCCCAGGTAAGTTATTAGGTTTAAGAGTATTATTAAGAGTATTATTATTTTGTAGGACTGGGTGTAAAAATGTCTGCAAAGCAACAGGCAACATACATGAGGAACGCTTACACACACTCATACACACCTGGTCCACGGTGGTTCTTCTCCATCCAGATGTAGCAGTTGCTCTGAGCCACGCCGGTCTGGGAGTCCAAGAAGGGGAGCCGCATGGAGCGCTCCGCACACAGACGTGCATTGTAGCTGCGACAGTGTTCAATGGCCTCCTTATAAAACTCCTCTCCGAGGCTGACAGCCAACACAGAGAGAGGGGAGGTGAAGGGGGGAGTTCACAGGTGAGGGAAAAGGAAGAAACACACCATAATTTTTTTTTAACAAACAGGAAGAGTTTGACCATGACTTTCAGGAACATGCAGAGGACAGGTTCATATATGTGTGTGTGCTCAGGCTTCATGTTGCACCTATAGAGAGCATGTGTGTAAGTCAAAGGGGTTGCCGTGGAGATGTCCAGTCCTATCTGCAGACAAGCTGGCAGCTACAACCAACACTTCCATTCTCGTACAGTAAAACTCTACTGCACAGTAGTTCTCCTCCACACTGCTGTATTTTCTCACCCGTAGAAGTGAGAGTTTGATTAACATTCACTGTAATATCCCCCCCACCCCCTCTCCACCTACCTGTTCTTGATGACTGCACCTCCAGATTGCCTGCAGGGGGAAGGCAGAAGAAAAAGAAGAAGAAAAAAACACAACAGATGTGTGGTGAGTCACTCAGTTCACCCCACCCCAATTTTCTCCACATTTTGTTTAGCTTTCCAACACTTCGCCTTCACTTTCTTTCCCCCCCTCATTGAAATGTTGCTTTCCATGTTTAACTTTCACACCCTCCCTCTCTCTGTACTTCTTTCCTCTTTTTTTTTTATTTTATTTCATTATTCTTCGCACTTCTCTCTTTTTTTTTCTCCCTCTCCTGTTAATCACTCCTCTCCAGTGTCTTCCTGCTGAGTGCAGACATCAAGGTCACTCAGCTACACAGACTGTAGATACAGGACACACAAAAACCACACACACACACACACTCACTGTGTTACAGTGCAGAAGCAGAGCCAAAAGCGGCCTCACAAAAAATAGAACAGAGAAGCTGCTGGTAGCAATTTGTTCACATTTTTGAACTTTTTCTTGTGCCATCGCCAAAGAAAAAGACTGACTGATTGATTTTTACACAAAAAGATTTCACTGCAGATGTGGATGTGTAAAAAAAAAACTATATTTGGCTGCTCAGGGTGTGGTAAAAGTTATAAAGAAAACCTGAAAGGAATGAGGATGAGAGATTTCTATGGCATTTTGGGAGACAAATGAATGTGGTTAGTGTTTTTGAATGGTGCTTTGTTTGTTTTTTACTTGTTTTTGTCACAATTTAAGGTGTAAGATCTTAATATTGTACAAAAAATAACAGAAAATAAGTCTGCAGATAATGATTTAATTCCTTAAGGAGAATAAAACTCGCCTTAAGTCTAAAATGTACCCCCCACCTAAACCTGACAGAGCTAGAATTTATTTTTCATTTATTTTTCATTATTTTACGTCAGTGTGGACGAGCCAGGCTAGATTAGATGACTTTTTCCTCTTAATAATAAATGAAATGAATGATTTAAAAACTGGTTTTTATTTACTCTTGTTATCTATGACAGACTTTTAAATTGCTTCAATAATCTGAAACATTAAACATGACGAAACGGCCTAAACAGAAGAACGTACAACAGGGGGAAATATTTTTTCACGGCTCTGTATCTGTGATAGCAGCAGAAACTGAATCATAGGGGAAAAAAACAAACACAAAAAGTTTATTTATTCTTTAAGGGAACAAAAGCGAGAAGAATGTGCTCCAAGGAATAACTAACTTGTTAAACACAAAGGAATGCCTGCTGTAGGAGCTTGCTAAAGAGTTCAAGAAATATTTTGACATGCAATCAACAAAGAAGCATGAGGATCCTGTGTATCAGCTCAGCTCTGCAAAAACGATCTAGAAATAAGTACAAATTTCTTAAATTAAGTGTATTGACTCTTAATTTGAGTGGGTAAATGAGATAGTTTGCCAATGGAATGAGTAATTTTACTCTTAAAATAAGATAATTAGATAATATGCACCTGAAATAAGACAATGCAATTGTGTTTTCTTATTTTAAATGTAAATTGTCTTGTTCCAATTGGCAAAATGTGTCTTTTACCTCCACAATTCAAGAACAAATGCACTTATTTTAAGAAAAAATGACTTATCCAGATTTAGATTTTTTGCAGTGGGTGTTTCCAAATTATCTGTATCAGCAACTGGCTGCACTACTGCTGCTAGTGTTTTATTATTAGTGCTTACAGGGTGCTTTTTGCTGAAAAAAACATGCTTGAACAAGAAAAAGTTGGCAGAACTTAAAATGTTAAGGCAACAAACTGCAGGAAATGTTTAAGTTTAGGACTATAATTGAGGATTTTCGTGAATTTTTTTAAAAGACCTGTCCTCTCCACTTAAAAAAAAAAATGCACAAGCACTGTGCCTGCTCCTGAGAGGGAAGGCTTATTTAACGCGTGAGAGGGCGTGCATGAGCCTATTTCTCCTCGTGCACGCTCTGTTTAAAAGCTGCTGTTTGCATCACTCATACAAGCTTACTTTCCAAAAGATTTGCAATTTTTCCACTACTGTATGTCAGACTCACCACCGTTAAGTGAAAATGGGAGCGAGCAGGTGGGACGGCCTTATGTAAACATATCACCAGAATGATTGAAAATTAGGAGGACCAATTATTTTGATGATCCACCCATAAAAAGAACATCCACCACTAGACCTTTAACTTAATCAATTTAAGTTTCCCTTTTAAGTTTGCCAAAGTTTGAATTCTATGTTATAGTAACTTGAAATGCTGATTCTTTTACAGTTGTGAAAGCAGTGTACTTAAGGTACTAAATAAACTCTATATATATATTACTTCTTACTTAATAAATCTATTTTATATCCTTGAGCACCACTGTCCTGAAGTTTTTGCACACATCCCTGCTTGAACACACCTGAAACAAAAGGCCAAATTCCCTCCCTGGCATGTCAGTGAGTTTAGCAGAGGCCTGACCTTTAACCTTTCATTTCATTCAAACGTGTTGAAGAAGGGATGCATGCAGAAGCTGCAGGGCAGTGGTACTCCAGGAGCGACATCGCCTACCCCTGGCTTATGTGTAATATATATTTTTATCTAACTATTTTATTTTAGGGACTGTAGTAATCTGAGATTTAAACCTCCAACCTTTATGGTTGCACCAAGTAATAAAAGCTGTGCTTTCTAAACACGAGGCCAATCTATGCTGCCTCTATCACTGATTTCTGATAACTGAACTGTTGGTCAACTTTAAACATATATAGGAATTAAATTAGGCTTTGTTGTTATTGTACAGGAAATATTTCATTTTCCGAACTGATTTAAATCCCTTTTAGGGCTGAAACAACTAATCGGATTAATGGTGATTAATCTATTATTTGAATAATCGTCAACTAATTTAGTAATTGATCAAAAATAAAAAATATATATATAAAAACAGATTTTTAGAAATTGATAGTCAATATGCTCAGTCCTGAACTCTTTAAGCGGAAAAGTTTTAGTTTCACCTAGTTTAAATTTGTAAAAAAAAAAAAATCTTTGTCTATCCAATTATTATTTGATTAATCGAAAAAACTAATAATCAGATGAATTGATTTGCAAAATAATCCTTATTTGCAGCCCTAGTCCCTGTAATTAACACTTCTTGTTTCAGTTTGATCCAAGTGAAAACTGTTTTGAACCCCAATGAACCCTAAACAGCCTGATCAGTTTATGCTGTGCAGCTCGGAAATAAAATACACAGATTCACAATAAAAATCTCCCTTCTTTTCTTTTTCATTGCATATTATTTCATTGTATATGTACTTACTGTTGTTTATAAATGGAGGTCTAATGCATCTACACCGATAAAGCTGCTCAGATTCAGGATTAGACAGAAGGTGAATGAATTCAACTCAAAGGGCGGTCATCACTGTGGTGGGCTGCTATTGGCTAATTAGAAAAGTGCCATGCACTCAAACTCTCTATATCAGAAATATATTTTTAGGTTTTTGTTAGTTTGGCTATTCTCATTTTTAGTACAGAAGATATTTTTCCCGAACGGTTCTTCCTGTGAATTTATTAAGAAACTACAACCTGGTAGTTTCGTTACAAAAATAGGGTTTGTAGTTATCTTGCCGTTGCCATGGAAACAGTGATTTTCTTTTTCTTTCCAGAGGCTGGATAAACAATTCGTCAACTGGAGTCAATATATGCAATGATCCAAAAGCAGAAGCTTTCACATTTTGCCACGTTTACCAATATTATCAAGTTTTTTTCTTTTGTTTTAAGCTTTGTCGTGGTTTAGCTTCGTGGCACATTAGCAATGTGACGTCACTCTATGCGACATTTCAGGAAATACAAGAATTTGATGGAGGTTATGGAAACGCTTCAGACTTTGCTGGCAACGCAGGATCACAGAAGCTGTGGCTACAAATGTGTGTTTTAAGCAGTTTAAGGTTCTACAAATAAAAAGACAGGATTTTAAATTCTTCATTTTACGGTTAAGCCTTAAAAATCATCCACAGTCGCAGCAAATTTCGATTTAAAGCTGTTTTTATCCACAAAGTTTATTTCCAGTAGCCAGTATGAAATCTCCCAAAAGATAATCAGATCATTTTTATTATAAAACATAAATAAAATACATCTATCAATTTGGAAAAAAATTTAAAACTTCTTGTTTTGAAGCATTTTATCAAAACTGTTATGCTAAAATTGTATCAATTTCATCATTATTATCATTACTGAAAAATTTTTTATTTAGTGTTTCAATTTTTTCTTAATAACAAAGCAACATTTTTGCCCTGAAGCAGAAAAATAAAGGATTCAAAAGGCAAATCGCAAATCAGAGTTAATCTTTATGAAAATCTAATCATTTCCCTCTGAGCCTGAAGCCCAAAACTGAGAAACACCTTTCATATTTTTAGATTTTTGCTAATTAACAGAAAAAAAGCAAACAAAAAAAAAAACAACTCGGAGGCTTCTTACACCTCACTGGCATGGTTTATTATTTCATTCAGACTGCGATTCACGACACAATCCAGAACATATAATCCAAATCAGAAGACTAAGAAAGATTGTGACGTGTTGTTAGAATCAGCAGTCCTGGGTGGAGGTCCACACAGATGCTGGAGCGTCCTGACAGGCCGAGCATCACAACATCAAAATCTCTCAAAACTAAATCTGCAACGTTGTGGGTCATAGCTGGACACATGGCATTAAAGGATGTGACTGGACTGCAGAGTGAGCTGAGGTCCACCAAGTGAGCAAGCACGCCTTTTCCCAAAGAGAGAAAGTGCTTTTTGACAGAAATAGTAGCTGTCAGCACCCAGAAAAGAATCACGTATTCTGGGCAGGTTGGAGGTCCGTCACCAAAATCTTTTCTTTTTTTTCCACCTTTATCCAGTTTTTATTTCCTCCCAGCCAAGGAGACATTCTTTAGCATAATATTAGGAGCTTTGGATAGCAGGCATCCTCAAAATCACTGAATATATATCATCTAGCAGGAGCTCATTAAAACGAGGGACAGTGAATATAGAGAGGTGCAAATAATCATGCCTGCTGTTTGGATATAAATACTAATATCCAGGA